CAAAGGTTGGTCACTAAAATGTTCCAAGAACATTTAGGAAAAACTATGGAGGTATATATAGACGATATGCTCGTCAAGACCCAACATTCTAATGATCATATTTCTCATTTATCTGTCACATTTGGAATTTTGCAAAAATTTAATATGAAACTCAACCCAGAAAAATGTGCATTTGGAGTTGCCTCAGGTAAATTTTTGGGTTTTCTCGTTTCTAACCGTGGCATTGAAGTGAATCCTTCACAGATCAAAGCAATAGAAGAAATTCCTGATATCCTAACAAGTAAGAAAGAGGTTCAAAGATTAACAGGAAGTATTGCGGCTTTGGGGAGGTTTATTTCCAAATCTTCGGAGAAGTGCTTTAAATTTTTCGCAGCACTCAAAAAACAAGATCATTTTGAATGGAACGAAGATTGTCAGCTGGCTCTCAGAAATTTGAAAGCTTATTTGTCAAACCCGCCGCTGCTAGCAAAACCGAAGGAGGGTGAAAAGTTGCTCATTTATTTGGCTGTATCAGAAGTTGCGGTAAGTGCTGTCTTAGTTCGAGAGGACCAAGGTAAACAATCTCCTATTTATTATGTAAGTAAATCTCTGTTAGATGCTGAAACACGATACCCGCAACTAGAAAAGTTAGCTTTGGCTTTGATCATGGCATCTAGAAAATTGAGACCTTATCTCCAATCCCATCCTATTGTCGTGGTTACTGCTTTTCCATTACGAAACATTTTGCATAAACATGAGTTATCAGGAAGGTTAGCAAAATGGGCCATAGAGTTAAGCGAATATGAAATCAGTTACCAATCTAGAACTGCAATAAAATCTCAAGTATTAGCCGATTTCATAGCTGATTTTAGTCAGGGAATGCATTCAGAAGCAGAAAAAGAGTTACAAGTTTTTAATGGTGCAAATCCGGGGACTTGGATTTTGTTTGCTGATGGTTCTTCTAATGTAAAAGGTGCAGGCCTAGGGATAGTTCTCGTACCTCCTACAGGTGAAACTATTAGACAAGCTATAAAATGTCATTCTATGACTAACAATGAAGCAGAGTATGAGGCTGTAATTGCAGGTTTAGAACTGGCACGCGAACTTGGCATAACCCAGATTATAATCAAGAGCGATTCTCAACTTGTGGTTAATCAAATACTGGGGACTTTTACAGCCAGGGAAACTCGAATGCAAGAATATCTGGAAAAAGTACGGGAATTAATAACACAATTCCAAACCTGGAGGGTAATGCAGATCCCAAGAGACGAGAATGCAGAAGCAGATGCATTATCTAATCTCGCGTCTGCAGCAGACGTGGCAAATGATTCAAATACTTCAATCGTATATCTGTTTCATTCCGTCCTTGAACCTAATAAGAATAAGGTAAATTTTAATCATTTAACATGGGATTGGAGAAATGAAATTATTGCTTTTTTACAGCATGGTACCGTACCTATCGACAAAGCAAAAGCTCATGCACTTCGCAAAAAAGCTGCCCGTTATTATTTACATCAAGGGAATATTTATCGAAAGATGTTTGGTGGCCCGTTAGCAAGGTGTCTCGGACCTTCTCAAACAGAATATGTGATGAGGGAAGTACATGAAGGACATTGCGGAAGTCATGCTGGTGGGAGGTCCCTGGTGAAAACATTGATTCGAGCAGGATATTATTGGCCCAAGATGGAAGAAGAAGCTAATGATTTCGTGTCTAAATGTGATAAATGTCAAAGATACGGCAATAATATACATAGACCAGCTGAGTTACTCCATCCTGTCATTGCCCCGTGGCCCTTTATGAAATGGGGAATGGATATTGTAGGTTCTTTACCACTAGCAAAAGGTCAGGTAGAATTTCTACTTGTGCTTACAGATTACTTCACTAAATGGGTAGAAGCAGGAGCTTTTAAACAGGTGCGGGAGAAAGAAGTTAAAGACTTCATTTGGAGAAACATAATATGTCGTTTTGGAGTACCAAGGGAAATCGTTTGTGATAATGGACCACAATTCATAGGGACCCAAATCACAGAATTTTTCGAAAGTTGGCAGATTAAAAGAATAACATCTACACCATATCATCCAGTGGGAAATGGACAAGCTGAGTCCACGAATAAGGTTATCATTAACAATTTGAAGAAAAGATTGCAAGATTCGAAAGGTAATTGGCCTGAAATATTACCTGGAGTATTATGGGCTTATTGTACAACGCCAAAAACAAGCACGAGAGAAACCCCATTTTCAATGGTTTATGGTGCGGAGGCTTTGATTCCAGTAGAGATAGGAGAACCAAGCACACGGTACGTTCAAGCATCGGAGGAATCAAATGATGTAGAGATGCGGGTGAATCTTGATTTGTTAGAAGGAAAAAGAAAAACTGCACTAATAAGAATGGCAGCACAAAAGCAAGTAATGGAACGATACTATAACAGGAAAGCACGCCTCAGATTCTTCAAAATTGGGGACTTCGTGCTTAAAAAGGTGTTCCAATCTACACGTACTGCTAATTCAGGAAAGCTGAGTCCAACATGGGAAGGACCTTACAGAGTTCGTAACATTGCGGGAAAAGGAGCATACGAGTTGGAGACAATGGATGGCAAGCTATTACCCTCACATTGGAATGCTGTCCATCTAAAAAGATACTATTTTTGAGAAAAGTATCCACGGTCAGGTATCTCTATGTTAAATATTTTTTAATTATTAACAATTTTACTAACGATTTTAGATGCTAGGCAAAAACCCTAACTCGTGCCAAATGATGAGTCACGACCTGTACGGCAAAAGGGAATATTCTTAAATTCCCAGCCCAGGGTTACAATTAATCTGATGGAAAAATACACGGGTTAGGTAGTCTTCATCTCTAATCGAACCTCCGAGTCCCGCAAATTTTTCTGTTTCAGGAAAAGGACCAAGTTAAGAGAAAAAAAAACAAGTGCTTGAGGCTTCATATTTCACAGCACAAACACTTGGGGGCTGTACAATAAACACAGAACGGATACGTGCGGAAAATAGATGCGCAAATCAAGAGACAAGTGTCGAGCAGGGTTTATGTAATCCAAGCATAAGCATACATCATAGTATTTTTTACCATGCGAGCAATAAAGTCGCCTCTCAAACCCTTCCTAAGGATGGGGTCGGCACTATGTACTAAAACAGGTTATAAAGAAAAACCTCGTGTCTATTGTTCTTCTTTTATATAAATCTGTTACAAGGAAAACAGTTGCGAGAAAGTTATAGATGTACTTTAATACATGTAAATGCTTGTTCAAGTTCATAAATAAAAACTTGTCGAAGTTGTAGCATACAAAACATGTGTATTCCTATTTCTTTCATCGTATTATAACACCATTATGAAGTTGAGACGTCTTCTTCATTAAGTGTCTATAAAGTAAAAGGGCCCTCTTTTATAAACCTCATATTGATATTCCATGAGAAGAATCATAAAGCATTTTCAAAGGATAAAAGTGCTAAGCTATTCCATAAGTCCTAAATAAGTAAGAAGGCAAGAATAGAATATAAAGAAGTACTCATAAAACTTCTTAACATAAAAAGACTGAGGAAAAACTTAGTCACCAAAATATTTATCTTACAAGTGCCCCATTATGGTAACTGGGGACTTCACCAAAAGATCCCTTCAAAATTGCCAAGGGATAACATTAACAATCATTAAAAGTTGTAAC